ATCATTGCAATAAATTATCACTAAATGCCTTTCTATTGATTATAGCCCAATCCGCCAATACAAAACGCTCTTCATTGTAGCGTTTCCATATTCAGCAGTTTGTATCGATCCGCTAGCTTAAAAAGCTATTTTACCAAACATGTATTTCAGTTGATTTGAGTTGGTCAAATAACTATATTGGCGTTTTAACTCAAAACACTAAAAAACAAACAAACCCAAAATCTTAACAAGTAGCGGCTAAAAAAATATTTCTTTCGGCAGCACACTACGTCAATGCGCATCAAATGATAAAGTCAGACGGATGAATGTATGCTGGGAAATAAAATATTTTGATTTTTATTTGATTTATTAGATAAAATGTGTTAATTTTGAATAAATTTGGTTGAGTGAAAACTTTGAGTTTGTATATAAATAATATTTAAAATATAATTAATAAAGCCGTTTAAGATAAAAATATGATAGATGTGATTTGATGGATAGTTAAACATATGTGAATAAATTAATAGTGAATTTGTTGTTGTGATGTGGAAAAAAGGTTGACAGATATTATTTAATTATACTGATCAATAAAAAGTATGAGAGTTAAAGTTAGATTAAAGTTCAATTAATTTTTGAGTTAAAAAATGTAAAAAAAATTATCTAGTCGGTCAAAACCAGTATATATGTTTTATTTACAATTGATTGAAGTAAATTGACCTGAGTATTGTTATATTTAATTAACTTTCTCTACGTTCTTTATTTACATAAGTATATTCTACATTCATTTGTTACCGACAACGTTCGAGTTTTTATTTACATAAATACTTCGTATAGTTTAATTATTAATATTACAACACCAAGACTAAAATTGTCTACTTAGATTAAAAATAACCCATTTATATTAACATTTAGTTGTTAAAGTTTCAAGCGAACTCAAACGATGTCGAGCGTTGAGTCAAAATCGAACATTCTTATTTTCTCACGAATCAAGTCAAGAGCTTGAGCTCGAGCATAGAACAAAAAAGTTCGATCTGCGCTCGACATCATAAATACTCAACTCGACTCGACTCGTTTGCAGGCCTACTTATTTAAATAGTAAAAACTCCTTTTTTTCTTCCTATTAACATAAATAAAATTATACAAGATCAAATTTACCCAAAACTCTCCTTGCCTGTCACCTATTGGCAGAGTTCAATGAGGCTCCTTGCCTGTCACCTAATTGGTAGAGTTCAATATTGCTTTCTTTTCCAAGTAAAAGATACCCAGATAAATTAAATAAATGTTAAACGACTCACATTTATTTGTTGAGTTTCCTGTTCGATTCAATTCCATGTTATACGTACATGAATTCTAACTTCTAATTCTGTAATATCATGTTCATGCCCAATTTACAATGACAAAGTTTCGATAATTGTGAAATAACATTGGTCAACAATCAAATAGCATAGCAAAATAGAAAACATAAACTGGATCGGCCTGGAATTATGTGCTCATAATTGTAAATAATCGGCCTCTGTGTTTTTACAAGACCTAAAAAATTATGCACACACAGATTCTTTACTACTGCTACTACTATTATTACTATTATTATCCAGGTTTTTTGAAACACAGATGGTATTATTTTTAAGGGAAAAAATCATTGATTGGCATATAATAATGATAATGATAAAAATACATTGACCTCGTCTAAATTAGAAACAAAATCAATAAAGAATTTCATCTCTAACAGAGTTTATTGAGAGAGACATACGATCGAACTTTTGATAATATTTAAACACTAGAAAGGAATATATTTATTACAACCTGGTCCTGGGGTGCACCAATATTTTCACCGGCCACCATTGCCTGTGGAGAACTGGATTCGCGAGTTTCATAAAAGTCACCGGCCACCATTGACTGTGGAGAGATGGACGGCGTTAGAAGTGCCGCCGTTATGCCGCCTGTCTCAATATCAACGTCAGGTGGCCCAAATTGATATTCCGCTCCGCACCACACTATTCTAATACAGTGGTAAAGGACAAGCAACGTCATGACGAGGTGATAACTAACGAAAAATATGAATAAATTCATGTTTTCCGATGCCATATATTCACTCCTAATTAACTTTCTATCACAGCCTCTTTACTGAATTGAATTAGGGTATTAGGGTTAGGTGATTGAGTCCTAATAGGATTTTTAACGGAAGGGTTCTATTCTGCAGTATCGTGACTCGTGAGACATGATTTTGTACTTATATTTTAATCTGTGTACTAAAGTACTAGTCAATCCTTTTTTTTTTTCGTGTACNAAGGAATAATCGGTGTATCCTATTTGTGCAACAAATTGTTACCAAAAAAATTGAATTGAATATTGTCATCAAAATCACATGTTTTAATCAATAATTAGTGTTGATACTCGTGCGTTGCACGGAGTGCAATACAAAAAATATTTTTAAAATATTATTAAATTATTTAAGACAGTAAATATAAGAATTTCATTATTTATAAGTTTATAAAATATTATAAATGGTTAAGATCATATGATATTTGCATACAAATTACTTATATGTATTTATAAAATTTTCGTTTATCATAATTTTATAATTTTTTTAACAATTCATAATTTGCACATTGCTTGATAATTGACCTACGTTTAACTCATACTCATATTTATCTTCCGCTATAATTATTAAGTGTATTAAATGTTAAAAACTTTGATAAATAAATTTTAATTTTTAGTAACTTTGATCCTTATGCAACACACAAATGTTTATGGTTAAATATTGTATTTTTATGTTTTCATTTTTTATTTATATTTATTTATTTAATTTATTTTTTCAACCTATATAATAAGTTACATAGTATATATTCGAATATTTAAATATATTATATATTTCCATAATTACCTAGTTTTATAATTTAAATTATTATACATTGCTTTTTTATTAACTTATTTTTCATTTATAGAATAGTATATAAGAAAAATATATATTTTTTAAAAAATCACTAAAACATATTTAGCTTTAGGTATCATCAAAAAAGTATTACATAATAGATATAAAGTGTTGCAATAGACAATAGGTAACATAATTTTGGCGCTACAACTGAGAGTGATACCTTTTGTCAAAAGTAACATTTTAGTTAGCTTTTGGTAACACTTTTTTTATATGTTACATTAATTAAATTATCGTAACACTTTGAAGTAGCACATGATAAATGTTACATATGACCTCTGAAGTAACACTTTTTTTTTCAAATGTAACACTTATTTATTGAAATTATGATTCAAATGTATCATTTTAATTTTTTTTTTATGTAACACTTATTTATTGAAATTATGATTCAAATGTATCATTTTATTCTTCAATTGTATCACTCACCTTTTCCTATTGCAACACTTGTAAGTATTTATGTAACACTTTGGATGGGAAAATTTCAAAATTAATCCCACAGGTATAGGGGGTGACAATTTTGGTCCCGACGGAATGCAGAAAATATGAATAATCCCACATCTTTTAAAAAATGATCAAAAGTAGGACTTTTTCGCCGGATTTACTATTTCCGGCCCGGAACGCCACGTAGCATCCGACGTGTTCATATTTTTTTTACAAGTTGTGGGACTAGTTTTGAATTTTTTGCATTCCATCGGGACCAAAAATGTCACTCCTCTATACTTGTGGGACTAGTTTTGAATTTTTTCCTATCTACGTCGGATGCCAGCGTGTAAAAAATAAGTCACGTGTGCGCCACGTGTGCGCCACGTGTACGCCACGTGGCGCTCCGGGCCGGAAATAGTAAATCCGGCGAAAAAGTCCTACTTTTGATCATTTTTTAAAAGTTGTGGGACTATTCATATTTTGTGCATTCCGTCGGGACCAAAATTGTCACCCCCTATATCTGTGGGACTAATTTTGAAATTTTTCCCACTTTGAATTGTTACATGTGTTACTGTTTACGTTGTAAAATGTAACATTTTTCTAGATACTATTTTACAACATTTTTCTAGATACAGTTTTATTTATTTATTTATAATAATTATTATTATTATTTTGCAATTTAACAATTTAGGTATAATGTTAAATCATTAATAAAAGAATAAGACATACAAATAAGTTTTTATTCCTCAAATCAATAATTATGGCGAAGTACATAGAAGGCTAACTATAATGCTCTCCCAATCTAACATCTAAAATGACAGATATTAAAACAAAAATATGAACATCCCAAACATGGGTCATCAAACATATTATAGAGTGAATGTCTTCGTAATGTTCATCTTCACAATGACCTTCGTTGTCAACTCCATTCCTTATATCGTTGTCAACTCCATTCCTTATATCCATGTTCCGGTCGAAGGCCCAAAATTTTGAATTTGCTCATCAACTGCATCGTCATCCTGAAATAACTATTAGTTATAAGTACACTATTTAGTAAAATTTAGCTTTAATAACGAAATAGATTTTCTTAAAAGAATACAAATGTTGACTATAGTCACATATGCAATTTTTTACTCCTACACTTGAAATAAGCCTCTTCGTAGAAACATAAATAATAACTAACTAGGAAAATGTTCAATAACTAAAAGAATACTAATAGCCCCTGTTTGTTAAACGGGATGGGATTGGACAAAAATAATACCATATTGTAGGATTGTACTGTTTGGATTATTTATATCTTGTGTTTGTTATGTAGGATATGTATAGGATAATTAATTTGTTTAAAAAAAAGAAAAATGAATTCATTCAACACAAACCCATATCAAATGTTAGAAAGTACAATTTTATCCCTAATAATTCACATTTCATTATGCTCGCTTTTTCACCCCAATTTCATATTCACTTTCACGCACATACCCTAGCCCCTACTCCTTCTGGTGATTCCTCCTCGATTTGCAGGTGGCAGTGACGACGGTCTTTTCTTCCTCAACCTTGAGCAATGTCAACAATTTAGTCTCGTATTTGGGTTTTCTTCCTTTCCTAAATTCATTTCAATTCTTTTTTTTTATTTTTATTTTTTGTATCTATGATCGCTTTTAATTCCGACATGCTCTTGAGGTGTGATGGAAAGGAAGATGAAATCAAGATGCAGTCAATCAAAAGTGTGATTAAGAGTAGTGTACAGAAGCAAAACCATCAGCTTAGGAAAATTTGTCTCACCAAACATGAAGAGCAAAACTAGCCTGTCACTTTCAAACTTCAAAACAAAACAAAAAAAGGGATATGAAAAATATCGTTATCGCAGTCGGATATGTGGGCCACTTTCGCAGATCAGACAACACTGTGAAGCAGTGCCGGGCTGACTTTCGCTGCCAAGTGAGAAGAGGCGAAGAACTGTGTGCGTGTGTTTTGGGGCTAGGGTTCGGGTATAATGTCTGAATTCCAATCGAGCAAAAAATCATATTTAAAGAGGTAACAAAATTGGATTTTTCCCCAATCTCCTTATAAACTCTCATTCGCAGCTTAACAAAATTGGATTTTTCCCCAATCTCCTCATAAACTCTCATTCGCAGCTTAACAAAATTGGATTTTTCCCCAATCTCCTCATAAACTCTCATTCGCAGCTGTGTTCTTCATTTCGTCGACTCCGAGGCACGGCTTCCACCACGTGCGGCGACGACCAAGGCAACCGATTATCTTGCGCAATTGAAAGAAAGTTCGACCAACTGACCTTGGTTTTCGCCAACAACCACCAAAGCGTCGAATAGTTGCTCGTCTGGAAGCCCTAATTTTGCCGCCCAAGTAGAAGTCAGCGTCAACGACGAGGACGGCGGTCGACAGTGTTTCAGCAAGTCAAAGCGACGTGCAACGACGTGTTAGCCAGGTAACAGTTTTGGAGCTCGATTTTAATTGTAATATACAGTGCAAACCGACAAATACTTTTTGTAGTTGTTTTGCTTAATATGATTTATTTTGCTATTAGTAGTGTTAGGTTCTTGCTTAATTGGTTGACTGTCATACTGGCTAATCCGTGAAATCTGCACCCAGTAATCTGCAGTGACTTTCAAATATACAATACTAATGTTAAAGTGAGTTGTGAGCTATGTACTGTGTCTCAAGTGTTGTTCTGTTTTGCTCAGTATTTATGATATTCCAACTTAACCTTATTTGGTGTAAATAAGATGTTGCCAAGGGTCATTTGACATTTCTTATCAACTCCAAACAGGGATATCTATTCCTATCTATCATCTCCAATCACTGATATCTATTCCTATTTAACTGTCGCAAAAAATGCCATAGATATGTCCAGTACCTTGTTCTGGTAGCTATATTGAATTCAGGATACGTAGCTTCACTTTCATAGGCTATTATAATGTTAACAGTTGAATTTTTCCAATTTTTTTACACACTTCATCTTTGTTACTATGAATAAATATTTTTTTCTTAATAATATGAAATATCTCTGATGTGAATTATAACACCAACACTTTGCAATTTTTTTCTGTGTGTTCACCGAGGCATCAAGTTGGTGTTTAAACCAGAGTGTAAGATGTGTGATACAAGGCATAAATCCTTATTATTTGTTTTATCTGCAGGCGGGTCGTAGCAACGCCAACAGCTGGTTGCGTTTTTGTGTCTCCATCGGATGTCCGACGAGGAGCCGTGTAGCAGGCCTCGGTAACTGTCAGGCTTCTTACGAACCGATTGGCGAGGAGGTGAAAAACCCGTTCACCCCTCCTATTGCTTCCGTTTCGACCCGTCATGTGTTGCAAATGGATGTAAAATTTTTGTAATTCAATTTTTTTAGGGATTCTCTCTCTGAGCCGATAGAGAAGGACGACTATTTTGTTTGTTCCAACTTGTGAACGAACACAGATTGTGTTGAGTCTTTCAATGGTATACCGAGATTTTATTGATTTTCTGGTGAATAAAGCTTTTTATTTTATTTATTTAATTTTGGAGATAGATATATTGATAGATAATGAAGAGATTGTTATGCTTGGCATGTATGTATGTTAATAATTGGTTATATGTCTTAGTCATGTTTGCGCATGGTGTAAGCTTTCGTCCACTCAAATTCAAGTTGTTTTTTGCCGTATTTTGAGACATAATGTAAGTTGGGATATCACAAGAATACGTAACAAAAAAAGTTAAAAGACCAACACTGAAATTCATTTTGAGACCCTACTCCTCCGAATCGATGCCCGAGTCGGCCTCCATATCCATCTCATGCACCTCTTCGTCCTCCACGTCGATTGGATAGGACCTCCTACGACCTGGCTCATTCTTAAGCTCATAATCTTCTACGTCTATTGGATGGTACCTCCTACGACCCGACACATTTTGAACCTCATAATTTTCCACGTCGATTGGGTGGATGTTTGTTGCTCCCGGCACAATTCCATGGTCATCATGATCTTCGGGCTCCTCATCCGAGTCAGTAAACTCAATTGGATCTTCCAACATGTCTCCCGGACCATCATCAAAGTTTACATCCGCGGCTTCACGGTTAACGAACAAGTCCACACATTCTTTGTACCACTTGAAATCAAATAGCCGGAAGAATTTTTGGAAAGGTGTTTCCTACAATATTTAGTAAAAATCCGAAAATGAAGTAAAATTTTCAATAATCCAACAAATATTAATAATTATTATAAATTTAAATGATTGTCAATGAACTTAAATAATGTAGTCATAAAATAATTTAATAAGCCTATGAAGGGAAAGCTAAAGTTTACCTCCCCCCCAACAAGATTATTCCAATAAGTCGTGTTCACCGTGATCGTGCCATCATCCGGATACACCCAGACGCCCCTTGTGTAGGTGAAGGTGTTAAAAGATTCAAAATGAAACTTCAATCTATATATCTTCATACGGACCTTACCCTTGTCGAATGCTTTGTGCAAGGCATCCGAAAGGTCTCGGGCAAGATCGTGCCACATGGAATTGAAGACTGACGGACGGCTTATCTCCACCATTGTGCGGCACTTGTCAAAGAACATGCGATAGAATACATCCTCCTCTTCTTCCGTCCAGTCACTCCCACGATGATGTGGCGATACATTTTCATGGGAGCAAACATAATAATATCTTAACCAAACATGCAATACAACAAAACGAAAAGATTCTAAAAACGTGAGGAAAAGAAAAAAATCTTACACAAATTTAAGAAAATGGTCCCAACAAATATGTTGCCAAATATTGCTTATGTTTTCCTTTGAAATTGTTTGTATGAGGGCTTTTTCACTTTACAACCCCTTTAATAAGCACATTAGAATCGGATATGTTGTGAGTAAACTTTATAACCCCTTTAATAGGCATTAGAAGAGGGGTAAGTTGTGAGTAAGTGGACTTAGTAAGTGCAAGAGTAAATGTGTTCTTCCAATCAATATTTCTCATGCACTTTTGATATTCTTACAAAAATTTATCATCAATATTATATTTTTTCTCTTTATTCCACTTTTATCTAAATGCTACAATCAATATTATTTACTTTTATATGTAATGTAATTTTTAATATTCTTACATAATTTTGGTCATTTGCATTTTCTCAAACAATTAACTATATTTTTGAATGAAAAATATATTAAATATATATCAAAACATTTTTTTTTTTATTTTTTAATTAGAATGAAAGATAGGTTGTTTTTATAATAAAAACAATAATTGTAAGTTTTGAATAATTAGACCTAGTAAATGCTTTGTGAGTAAGGTTTACAATTCCTTTAATAGGCATTAGAAGGATTCTAGAGGGGTAAGTTTGTTGCTCTTAGACCTAGTAAATGCAAGACTCAAAATGTGTTCTTCCAAGCAATTTATTTTTTTGTAAAACCGAAAATAGTAGATTTTTTTTATTAAATAAAACTCCTAATCGGCCAACTCAATAATGTATTGATTATGTAAATAATGTAGGATTTGCGAGTTTAAAAGACGAATGTACCTTCTGGTTTACATGAAGTGAATTTCAATTAATTTTATTTTTGAATTGTTGAAGTATAAAAAATCCATCGAGAACCACATTAAAAGTGCTATATCCAAATCTATTCAGTCATTTTGCATCTTTCTCATTTGAAACTCCAATCTAAATAACATGGATTATTCATTTATGTAAATAACGAAAATCCACATTATTTTGCTATACAAGTAAATTTACTTTTGTCACTGCCTCAGCTACTTTCTTTGTAAGTGAATCATATTTTTTCTTGTATAGTAGATAAATAAATGTCTGTATAGAGGACTAGTATATTCCATTTCCTAACTCTCTACCTTCGGAGGAATATTTACAAAACATATACACACACCAAAAAGCATTTATTCCAAGTCTTTTTTCAAGTACAAACTGAAAGTGAAACATCATAAAATGTTCTATGTCGAGCGTAAATCCTTGATAAACTAAATATAAATGTTGAGAAAGATTTCTACTTAGAGCTACAAGTCCACACAGAGAGAACTATTAAGCATGCACAGAGAGAAAATATAACTAGGACTCTTTCCATAGAACTATTTACAAAACTAAAAATTCAATACGCTAAACGAAACTGAACAAACAATGGAAAAAACAAAAGAAAAATCATCAATCTCAGTCTATACGTCCTCAAATGTCAGTGTTGTGAGTCTAACAACCAAAACCTACTTAACAAAATACCGAACATCAACATACCGAACAGTCTTTTTAACATCAACTTATCGAAAACAACAGTGCAAAATACCGAACATCAACATCAACATAGACATGCCAACATCCCATACAAATCTTTTTAACAACTAAAACCTATTTTTGACAATCATTTGAACCATTTTCACCCGCGCATCGTCATCAAGGCTAAAAAACATGTCTAGCTCTTCAGTCTTATTGCAAAGGTATTTGGTGGTTAGTAGCTTTTCTTCCATGGTTAGGTTGGGCATACCTTTTAAGACCTCGTACACCTTGCCACGTCTTTTGGTCGCATCGTGGGCATGACCAACCCTCACCACCATGTCCGATATGTTCTTCGCAGTCTCCTTGCAGAAGGACGACAACATCCCCACGAACTGATTGTCTTCCTCCACTATTTTTTTCCTTTTTCTTGACCTCTTCTCTCTAGCAGACACACTACACTCTCCATCATGCACATTTGCCTCCTCATGCATATGTTCTTCAGCTGGGCATGTATTATTATTGGTTTCTGATCTCCTAGGTGCATTTGGAGTAGTCGGAGATGAAGGCATGTTAAAGACACCGTTTACCGCATCAACAAATCCTGTAGCGTTCTCACCAGTTGCCCTGTCCTTTCCGAATATGTCACACCACTGTGCATAAAATGGCCAAGACTTACACCTCATTGTTTTTGCGCTGGGGTCGATCTACATGGGAAAATTATTATTCAATGTCAAATAAACACGTAAACCATGTATTATTTCCAAAAAAAATAAAAAAATCGAACATTATGCAGACCATGTGTAAAATGGGATGAAAAAGAAAAAAATGGAGTATTCATTTTCACATTTTACACACAGGTTATAGCTTTTAAGCACATCCCGATTTGAACACAAATGTCAATGTGATTGATAGATGTTTGAATAAACATTGTAGGCATAGCTAAGTCATCTAATAGTTTATATAACTATTATGAAACAATATACCACCACACCTATTCAAATATCCCAATAATAAAGCTTTCTCACAGTTACTTCTCAACATAAAACCAACAATGTAAAAGTAAAGAACATAGACTGAATTCCAAGAGCAAAATGCAGAAAAAGTAAAGAACATAGAAATAATTCCAGAGTGCAGAATGAAAAAAAGAAAAACAAAAAATGTTGAGAAGTGGAGATGCGGGTTATCGATCAACATCAACAGCATGAAATATGAGCATTAGTAGTTACAGATAAACACCCAGACACAAATGACATTAATAGAATGTGCACAACACATATGCACAACACACAAATAAAAATGTCTTCAGCGAACTTTTCTCCAGTTTCTTTCTTTTCCAGCCAAAATTATATGCAAATACGCACCTTTAAGTATTCTGTCCATACTTGATCATCCCTCACGTCAAGATAACCACTCTGGGTTAAACTAAAACCAGACTTTTCCATCATCATGCTCAAGGACAGGTGATATTTTTTCCAAACCTTTATCTTCGAAGAAATATGTGGTTCGGCCTTAATGTCTGTGTCCGGAAATACTTGTTTCATGTGATGCTCTATTAACGCACTATATCCCGACCGAAATCCATTGTCGCACTTCCAACCACGTGCAACAAGGTCTTTCAGCCATTTACTAAGGCTGCTTCCTCCTCTGATGACCAAACCCTCCGATTATTTGAGGTAGATTCTCTACGCCCATTCCCACCATTAGACTCCATACCTGTAGCACCAACACCCATATTTTGTTTTGAAGAAAATAATACAAATTACAACATATACAATGTTATTAAGGACAAACACATATCAACAATAATGGTTCAAAATAATATGTTTTGCAATACATAGAGCTAATATCAGAAAAAACAATTGTTGTAATCATAATCACATAAATAACATTAAACAGTCGTACAAACAAAAAAAAAAAAATGAAGTTTATGCCACCTAATCTCCGGCCAACCATGAGTTATACATCGATAATGCTAAATTTTCTCTCCAACTAGTCCACTCTCTTTTACAAGCACTCGAGGAAACTCACTCTTTATTAACTCACTTCTCTCACTTACGCACAACACACACAAGCACGTACGCACTCTCTTTTTATTTTGATGATTACTCACAACACACACAACTCACTTCCTACACATATATTTATAGGTGCCTAGGATGATTCTAATATGTCGGTGGCTAAGCTAGGCTAGATTATTTTAATATTTCTTTATTATAATGTGGTAAGATTAATTAATATGTAAACCTTTTTCTTTACTTATCCGGAAACTTCCTTTAAGGCGGTGGTGTTAGTTTAACATTAAATTAGCCACACAGAGAACTATGAAATTTCAGTATCAACGTAAGTTTGATAGAGTTCAAATTAACTTGCTCATTGCACTAAAACAACTTGGATCAGTTAGGCTCAACATCTCGAATAAATATATGATTATGCCATTTTCAGAAACCATGAACTTCTGCGTAGAGGAAATTGTTCCACATTATCACCTGGGGCTATTATTACTATCTAAATCAACTCAACAATCACCATGAAAGCATGTAAACCAACTCAAATTATTACAGTCTCATCACTTTTAGGGTTCAAATTTAAGGGATATTATTATTCAACAATTCTTGCTTGGGACTAAAGGCTTTGTTGTTGTTGTTGTTGTTATTATTCAACTATTGTGTTCAGTTCTTCGGTAGATTTGGCAAAATGAATGATCTTCATGTACTACAACAAATTTGGTAGTTTATGTTGCCTAGACTCTTTTCAACTAGTTCGGGCATTCTGATGTAGTTTCAATTGCGTTTGAACCAGTTGTTCTGGGCAGGCACTTTGAGAGTACTAACGTCTTTAAATATCCATTATCGTCTTTGTTGTATTTTTGGTTGAATAATATTAGCTTCTATCATCAGGTTACAAACCTAAAGTCACCCAAAGTGCTTGGATTTTACTTCCTTTTTCCAGGGCAATTGGGCTACACTTTTACAGACGATGGAACACTTCGTTTTCATTTAGCACATTTATTGTACTGTTTCATTAATCAAAAGCATCATAAAAATATCTAACCTCCAGTTTACAACACAAACAATAGTTCATACCATTTAAGTTTCTTCGAAGCATACAGTGCACAAAAGTTTTTTCCAGTATATATTATTGTCACATTTGTTAGTGAGAAGTGAGAACAATAAAAAAATCTAAATTGGGCCACGGAACCAATCTAGTATATAGTATAAAGAAAGATAAAATGGAGTCTAGTGTTAGCTTCGAATTTACAAATTGTTACTGCATCAGTTATTAATTAATGATCTAGTTGTTCTCTCTGGTTACTTGGGCTTAGTGTAAGTGGAATCTTGAATATTATCTTGATGAGCTTCCATTTTAGGTAAAATAATATGGCTAAGAGTAATGAGGGATTTTTTAATGGACTTCTTTTGTACTGCAGAAAGTTAGAAAAACTCTTGCAGAGCGTGCAATTGTAGATCAGCCGTTTTGATCACCAACATCTATATGTATAACTTGATTTGCAGAAGTTATAACCTCAATGAAAATTTTTTAGTAGTAAAAAACGATCATTCATGAGTAGATTAAATATCCCTAATAAACCTGACTGCATTACGACTCGTTAGTAGCAATATAGGTGCACTCAATCTAATTTTTGTATTATTACCGTTGGAGAAAAAAAAGAAAAAAAAATTCTAATCGTTGCGTTACGCTGACAAAAACTGGAAACAGAGATGCTACGGCAACTTTTGATAGCAGCATTGATTGTGGCATAACGTTCTTTGTTATTGTCGAGCTTTACTGTTCACATATATGAAACATGTTTAAGACTACCTAATTTCATTAATCCATTTTAATTTACGGACGAGGTAGGTAAACAAAACAAAAGAAAGAAATTAATTCACCAGCAATCAAATCAACCAACCACATAAAAAATAAAATAAACTTCAGAGTACCCAAGTTAATACATATTCTTCTTAACTAATCAGCAACAAAATAAAATCAACCAACCTCTCTGGTGCAGGAAACAAACTTGAGTCTACTCAAGTTAATACATATTTTACTTACCTACGCAGGAATAAAATCAAATCAACCAACCTTTGGTGCACGAAATCGTTGTAGTAGTCCTGGAATGCCGCCGTGCTTGTATTTGCTATGAGCACTACCAACCACCCAAATTTCTCCACATCTATCCAATGCAACACCAGTAAGCCTAATCCCGATACTACATGACTTTGGTATTTATTTACCATGTACCCTAGGCAGCCATTCATTATAAATGAAACCCCGTAAAGAAACAAGTAAATGATCGCCGCAGCCCACCAATCATTCCAATACCCTACAAATACAATCAATATGGATTGAAGCAGCCGCAGCCCACCAATCATTCCAATACCCTACAAATACAATCAATATGGATTGAAGCAGCGGATCAATGGATTGAAGCAGCGGATCAGTGAGCAATCGAGTAAAATGTCCGGGCCAAAAACTCCAGTCAGTCCATAGTGCCCACCCCAGTAACGACAAACCCACCACCAAGGTTAGAAGGGGAATCCAAGCAATAAACGGATTGAAGGAGCCTAACCACTTATCCGCTCCACTTCTTACGGTCACCTCGATTATGGAGGAGGAGATTAAGCAAATAATTGCTAAAACACCTAAAGTGCCCCTCACCCCTACACTGATCCTGAAAATAATATACTAGTAATTAGCGGTTATAATGAAAAAACTCAAAGCAAAAATATACTAAAACTATTCTATATTGACTTTCCATAGCATTGAATATATTTATAACTATTTGAGGCCTAGTTTTAAAACGAATGTTTTAAAACATCCTTGTTTTAAAAAATTGTAAAAAAAGAATGTTTTGAAAAAAAATAATGTTTTAAAAAAAGAATGTTTTAAAAAAAGGCTACAAATCCCTACAGATAATCCGAAACTTGAAGATTATAGATCTCTAGCTACCTGAAAAAAATAAATAAATAACTTGGATTTGGAACCAAGCACTTGTGTACAGAAGATAGCTAGGTAAAAACAGAAATGGTATGGATTTAACGTAACAAACTCCAAATTATTTTTAAGAACAACAAAAGGAAAATGGTACGAAAAGCAAGTAAAAAGTGCTCGTAAGAGAGGGAAAACAACGAACTATGATTTTTGGAGCCCTAAAATTTAGAGAAACACATATTCATATGCATTGAATGCTGATTTTTGGAGCCCTAAAATTTAGAGAAACACATATTCATATGCATTGAATGCTTGTAATGGAATATAAAAGCTACGCCTTAAAAAAATTCTCTTTAGTTTTCTTTTGTTTTTTTCTTCTTTTTTACCTGGTGAGGAAAAATGAGATGGTGTACTTCTCTTTAGTTTTCTTTGGTTTTTTTCTTCTTTTTTACCTGGTGAGGGGAAATGAGATGTTAAGCAGCACGCACTCGACGGTGGGGAGAATATATAACGGAATATGGTCCCACAAAAAATAAATTACAGTTATAGCCCTATTCCGAATGGGGTCTTATAAAATAAACCTGCTTTTTTAGAAACTTTCCAACGATTACTTTCACAAGCAAAATAATTACAATTTTTCTAATTTTTTTATGTTAAATAAATGAAATTGTAAAATCAATTAAAAAAATTTATTACATTACTAACTTATTCTTAATGTTATTACTACCACCATATGAGTCGGCAATTTAAATAGCAATTTTTTTTTTATATTACATACCATAAAATACTTATATTAATTGGGAAAAATATATGTAAACTATGTATGAATATAAAATAATTATAAAAATACTAAAAATATATGTTTCAACGTAAATAAAGATGACATAAGAGATTTAACATTATAATGATATTAAATTTTTTTTAATTATATTTAAAATAACTATTATATTTCATAAAGTTTAAAAATATTACACTCATACATACTATATTTTAAATTATTGAATATTATAAAGTTAAAAACAATTAAAACTATAATAAATGGGAGGAAAACGATATATATACATATTAAATTACTTTAGAATCGCATTAATGTGTTGTGCATAGCTTATGTATGTATGTACCTACACGCAGGCTGAACAACACACATTTTGGTATATAAAGAAAGATACCAAAATATGAAAGGATAGTACACATCTAAACAACATACACTATTTGTGATATATATATAGAAAAACACAAAAAGTAAAAAATAAATAAATAAATGATAAAAACCCACCCACATGTGTATATACATAAGAGACAAAAGGGGGAAAGTGTAATTCTGGCAGTGTGTGAGCGCCACCGTACTAATGTGTTTATGTGTGTGTGTGTGAGGAAAGAGACGAGTTACAAGAGAGAGAAAGAGAGATAAATTATTATTTTTTTTTATCCTACTTAAAATTTTTGAAATAAATTAGAGGATAAGAAAGTTAAATAAAATCATACTTTTTAAACCCCAGTGATGACCCGGATAGGTCTCCGGTCATCAACTAACCAACTCGAGCTTTGAGTCACTAGGTTCATTGTTGAACCAGAATTTCAAAAATTTTAAAATATATATAGCATTTTT